GCAGAATCCTAAGGCTCCCATTCTGTTTCCTCCATGCTCAGGAAGGAAGCTGCTGGCCGCGGCTCTCCCACTCGGGAGTGGGGCGATCCCAGTGAAAGTGTGATGGGCAAGGTTGGGAGGGGCGGGGTGGATGAGGCAAATGAGCTGCAGCTGCTCCTGCGCACCACCAGCCTCCGAGGGCTCAGCCTTTCCTGTGCATGCGCTGCGAGATCGCCCAACCGGGTTGGGGTGGGCCAGGGCTGGAGCAGCGGGGGCCGGTTCCTTACCATTTCTATGAACAGCTCCAGGGGCCAAATTTGGGCCCTTGGCGGGCCGTATGCGTCCCACAGGCTTGTGTTTGACATGTCTGGTATAGGGTCTTCTGTTTGAGCAAGGGGCTGGACTAGAAGACCTCCAAGGTCCTTTCCAACTCATTCTATTCTGTTCTATTCCTTATTCTGATCTGTTCTGTTGTTCTGTTCCATTCCATTCCATTTCATTCCATTCCTATTATTCTATTCTATTCTATTCTATTCTATTCTATTCTATTCTATTCTATTCTATTCTATTCTTTACTCTATTCCTTATTCTGTTCTATTGTGTTCTGTTCCATTCCATTCCTATTATTCTATTCTATTCTATTCTATTCTATTCTATTCTATTCTATTCTATTCTATTCTATTCTATTCTATTCTATTCTCTTCTATTCTATATCCTGTCTTCTATTCTATTCTATTCTATTCTATTCTATTCTATTCTATTCTATTCTATTCTATTCTATTCTTTACTCTATTCCTTATTCTGTTCTATTGTGTTCTGTTCCATTCCATTCCTATTATTCTATTCTATTCTATTCTATTCTATTCTATTCTGTTCTGTTCTGTTCTGTTCTGTTCTATTCTATTCTATTCTATTCTATTCTTTACTCTATTCCTTATTCTGTTCTATTGTGTTCTGTTCCATTCCATTCCTATTATTCTATTCTATTCTATTCTATTCTATTCTATTCTATTCTATTCTATTCTATTCTATTCCATTCCATATTTTCTATTCTATTCTATTCTATTCTATTCTATTCTATTCTATTCTATTCTTTACTCTATTCCTTATTCTGTTCTATTGTGTTCTGTTCCATTCCATTCCTATTATTCTATTCTATTCTATTCTATTCTATTCTATTCTATTCTATTCTATTCCATATATTCTATTCTATTCTATTCTATTCTATTCTATTCTATTCTATTCTATTATATTCTTTACTCTATTCCTTATTCTGTTCTATTGTGTTCCGTTCCATTCAATTCCTATTATTCTCTTCTCTTCTCTTCTCTTCTCTTCTCTTCTCTTTTCTTCTCTTCTATTCTATTCTATTCCATTCCATTCCATTCCATTATCAATGAGAATAGAGCTGGAAGGGACCCTGGAGGTCATCCAGTCCATGCCCCTACTCAAGCAGGAGACCCTGTACCTTTTCAAAGAAGCTGTTGAGTCTCTTCTTAAAAACCTCCAACCTCTGGTGGCAAGCTGTTCCATTGGTTGTCCTCACTGTTAGGAGGTTTCCTTACTTACAACAGTTATTTTTGTGATCCTTCAAAGTTACGACAGCACTGAAAAAAAGTGACATTATGACCATTTTTCACAGATATGACCTTGGCAACATCCCTGTGATCATGTGATCAAAATTCGGACGCTTGGTCACTGGTTCCTATTTATGACCATCGCTGTATTCTAAGGTCACGGGATCCCCTTTTGTGAATTTTTGAGAAGGAAAGTCTACGGGGGAGTACAAATTCACTTAACAACTGGGTTCCTAACTTATCCACTGCCGTGATTCACTTAACAACTGTGGCCAGAACGGTTGTAAAAGGGGGCAAAACTCACTTAAGAAATGTCTCACTTAACAACAGAAATTTTGGGCGTTAAGTCGAGGACGACCTTTACGTCACGATAAGATAAATGTAACAAGAATGTTTTTACTTAGTTGATAAGAGGAATGTTGTTTGCCCAATGCAAGATATTTATGTATATTACTGAATTATTGGTTAACTGAGATAACACCTGTAATGGTTTGGACTTATTAGAGGGGATACAGTATTATTAACTAAATGGTTTAATGGGGGGGGGAATAGATAACTTTTAGGAAACAGAAGAAGACTATTCCAGTATCTCAGGGGCTGCCCCAAAGAAGAGGGAATCAAGCTATTTTCCAAAGCACTTGAAGGCAAAGACAAGAAGCAACGGATGGAAACTAATCAAGGAGAGAAGCAATCTAGAACTAAGGAGAAACTTCCTGACAGTGAGAACAATTAACCAGTGGAACAGCCTGCCTCCAGAAGCAGTAAACGCTCAAACACTGGAAGTTTTTAAGAAGAGACTGGACAGCCATTTGTCCGAAATGGTGTAGGGTTTCCTGCCTGAGCAGGGGGTTGGACTAGATGACCTCCAAGGTCCCTTCCAACTTTTTTATTAATTAGATAAGATGTGTAGTTAGAAAGAGTACAGAGAAGAGCAACAAAGATGATTAGGGGACTGGAGGCTAAAACATATAAGGGACGATTGCTGCACCTGGGTATGTCTAGTTTAATGAAGAGAAGGACGAGGGGGGACAGGAGAGCAGTCTTCCAGTATCTCAGGGGCTGCCCCAAAGGAGAGGGAGTCAAGCTATTCTCCAAAGCCCCTGAAGGCAGGACAAGAAGCAATGGAGGGAAACTAACCAAGGAGAGAAGCAACCTAGAACTAAGGAGAAATTTCCTGACAGGAAGAACAATTAACCAGTGGAACCACCTGCCTCCAGAAGCGGTGAATGCTCCAACACTGGAGGTTTTTAAGAAGAGACTGGACAGCCATTTGTCCGAAATGGTATAGGGCAGTGGTTCTCAACCTTTCTAATGCCGCGACTCCATAATACAGTTCCCCATGTTGTGGTGACCCCCAACCACTTATACATCACCGGGTGCCAGGGGCATGGCCAAAGAAAAAGGGAAAAAAATGGCGGACAGCCTTGTTTGGCGACCCCCGTGAAATGGTCGTTCGACCCCAAATGGGGTCCCGACCCACAGGTTGAGAACCACTGGTATAGGGTTTCCTGCCTGAGCAGGGGGTTGGACTAGATGACCTCTAAGGTCCCTTACAACTTTAATAATTATTATTATTATTATTATTATTAATAATAGACTTTACCTAAATATAAAACACCTGGAAATCATAAATCACAAATGTTAATTTGAATATTGATGGGAAATTGAAGCTTGGGGGAAAAAAAAGCAAAAGTTTGCAGAGGAAGTTTTGAGTTGCTTATAGAGTTAATTCCAAAGGCTTGAGTTAATTGGAGCCATGGAATTTGGAGGCGTGGACTTCAACTCCCAAAATTCCATGGTCAAGGCTAAGAATTCTGGGAGTTGAAGTCCAGGCCCCTGGGGATTGGGGGGGGGCGGGGTACCTGGGATAGGGAAAACTGGTTTGGCAGGACAGATTCTTTCCGTGAAAAACTCACAGAAAACAGATTTGCCGAAAAGCATGTTCTCCCCATTGGATCCGCCAGAAATAAAGATACTTCCTCCCCCACACACACATAATTGGATCTGGTTAAGACAAAGACAGGTTAAAAAAAAAATAACAACAACAGCAGCAGGAAATATTATTTTGCAGTCCTGTTATAAACAATGTTTAGCCTTTAGGTCTAGAGGGAAAATTTCCAGAGATGGAATAAAGAATGCATGACAAAAAACTGTTTGTATGGCATCCATTTTAATGATTTAACTTGAAATGTTCTTAGCCTTAACTTTCTAACTGGTATTTTGCAAGGTCGTAAGTCGCCCAGATTCGCTTGATAGTGTGTGTATGTGTCTGTCTCTGTGTGTGTGTGGGGGGGGGAGGAGGTCATATAGATGTAATTCATCAATCAAATAAATAAATAAACATAGATTAAAAAGTAGCTTAGGTGTTAAATATCCCTGAATGTTTCTATAGTGCAATAGAAGAACAGGCATTTCAGATGCCAAACACTTTGCTTTGAGCCAGGCTAATGTTTTGGGAGTGGAGGGAAAGATTTACCAGTGCCTAAGTGGAAATAAATATGGAAGAGAAGGAAAAGATGAAAATATATGGGAAAAGCAGGAGAGGAGAGGAGAGGAGAGGAGAGGAGAGGAGGGGAGGAGGGGGAGGGGAGAGGAAAGGGAGGGGAAGGAGAGGAGGGGAGGGGAGAGGAGGGGGATGGAAAGGAGAGGAGAAGAGAGGAGAGGAGGGAAGGAGGGGGAAGGGAGAGGAAAGGGAGGAGAGGAGAAAAAGGGAGGAGAGAGGAGAGGAGAGGAGGGGAGAGGACAGAAGGGGGATGGAAAGGAGAGGAGAAGAGAGGAGAGGAGGGAAGGAGGGGGAAGGGAGAGGAAAGGGAGGAGAGGAGAAAAAGGGAGGAGAGAGGAGATGAGAGGAGGGGAGAGGAACGGAGAGGAGAGGAGGGGAGAGGAATGGAATGGAATGGAGAGGAGGGAAGAGGAGAGGAGAGGAGGGGAGAGGACAGAAGGGGGATGGAAAGGAGAGGAGAGGAGAGGAGGGAAGGAGGGGGAGAGGAGAGGAATGGAATGGAATGGAGAGGAGGGAAGAGGAGAGGAGGGGAGAGGAGAGGAGGGGAGAGGACAGAAGGGGGATGGAAAGGAGAGGAGAAGAGAGGAGAGGAGGGAAGGAGGGGGAGAGGAGAGGAAGGGAGAGGAAGGGAGGGGAGGGGAGAGGAGGGGGTGGAAAGGAGAGGAGAAGAGAGGAGAGGAGGGAAGGAGGGGGAGGGGAGAGGAAAGGGAGGGGAGAGGAGATGAGAGGAGGGGAGAGGAACGGAGAGGAGTGGAGAGGAGAGGAGAGGAGGGGAGGGGAGAGGGAAGAGGAGAGGAGGGGAGAGGAGAGAAAGAAGAAGAGGAAAGAGGAGGAGGAAGAAAGAGGAGGGGAGGAAGAAGAAGATGAAAGAGCAGGAGGAAGAAGAACAAGGAGGAGGAGGAAGAGAAAGACAGGGACAGAGAAGAGGAAAGAGGGGGAGGAAGAAAGAAGGAGGAGAGGGGAGAAGAAAGAAGAGGAAAGAGGAGGAAGAACAAGGAGGAGAAGGAGGAGAGGAGAGGGCGGGGGTGGGGGAAAGAGAAGAGAAGAATTAAGAAGAGATTTTTCTCCTTGGTAGAACCAGCATGCAACTGCGTTCCAACTCATCTCGGTCGTCTTGCCATTTTAAGAGCGGAGACTCTTCCTTCTCTTCGCTCGGCTGGGTATCCTGAAATTCACTTGTCTTGCTGTCTACAGAGGTCCAAGGGCCGCCCACGGCCACCGATCACGGGCCCCGGTGGAGAGCGATTGCTGGGATGTCTTTGGATATTTTGAGGATCTTCAAGGGGTAGCAGTTCCAGCGTTTCCTTCCGGTACCGACAGCGAGGAAGAGAGGGCAAATCCTGCCTGATGCTTTGGGAAGGGAAGCCTGGTCTGGAAGACGGCGAGGGAGGCTGCTGAGGACCCCCCTCCCAGTCAGGGGGCTTTGCTCTTCTCCTGGACATCACTCTCCTTCCTGAGGCTCTGGCTGCTGGCTTCGTTGTATCTCACCCAATGCTGGATCTCTTCCGACAGGGCTGGGGATTCGACCTGCGGTTCAAACAGAAGCCAAAAAAAAAAAGGGGGGGGGGAGAGGAAATATCAGAAAATGTAATGTATTGTTTATTTATATTAGGCTTTCTCTGTAAACCGCTTAGAGAGGGCTGAAAAGCACTATGAAGCGGTATATAAGTCTTAAGTGCTATTTCTACTGCCTTTCCTTCCTTCCTTCCCTCCCTCCCTCCTTCCTTCCTTCCTTCCTTCCTTCCTTCCTTCCTTCCTTCCTTCCTTCCCACCCAGTGGTTAGAATGCAGTATTGAAATGTATTATTTATTTATATCCGGCCTTAGGCTGTCTCTGTAAACCTCTTAGAGAGGGCTATAAAGCACTATGAAGTGGCATATAAGTCTTAAGTGCTATTTCTACTGCCCTTCCTCCCTCCCTCCCTCCCTCCCTCCCTTCCTTCCTTCCTTCCTCCCTTCCTTCCTTCCTTCTTTTTTGTTTTCTTGTTTTCCTTCCTTTCTTCCTTCCTTCTTTTCCTTCCTTCCTTCCTTCCTTCCTTCCTTCCTTCCTTCCTTCCTTCCTTCCTTCCTTCCTTCCTTCCTTCCCACCCACCCAGTGGTTAGAAGACTGTATTGCAGGCTAACTCACTGCCCACTGCCAGAAGTTCAATCCTGACCAGCTCAAGGTTGACTCAGCCTGCCTGCCTTCCTTCCTTCCTTCCTTCCTTCCTTCCTTCCTTCCTTCCTTCCTTCCTTCCTTCCTTCCTTCCTTCCTTCCTTCCTTCCTTCCTTCCTTCTTTTTTGTTTTCTTGTTTTCCTTCCTTCCTTTCTTCCTTCCTTCCTTCCTTCCTTCCTTCCTTCCTTCCTTCCTTCCTTCCTTCCTTCCTTCCTTCCTTCCTTCCTTCCCACCCAGTGGTTAGAAGACTGTATTGCAGGCTAACTCACTGCCCACTGCCAGAAGTTCAATCCTGACCAGCTCAAGGTTGACTCAGCCTTCCATCCTTCCGAGGTCGGTAAAATGAGGACCCAGATTGTTGGGGGGGGCAACAGGCTGACCGCTTAGAGAGGGCTGTAAAGCACTGTGAAGCGGTATATACAGTAAGTCTAAGTGTTGTTGCTATTGCTAATGGGCTATAAACCTCCTAACCATCATCCTGACTCCCCACAAAGCTAAACCTCTGAATCACACCCGCTTCAGGAAAGCTGTGTTGTGTCTCTTTCGTCATCCACAGCCAGATGGGTTGAGAGGCATGGAAAGGCTTGTGAGAACCCAATACATGTTATGATCAGAAAGGCTTTGTGGAGTCAACAATGCCACACCCGGCTTGGAAAGCAATAAGAAAACCCAAATCCATCTGGACATTTCACTAATCCAGGTGGGAAAGTAACATACATTCCCACGGAGTTGTCCTGTCCCATCCATGATCCCTGGATGGGTCTCCATCTCCGATCTGGTGTTATCAAGATCTTTCATTGAAGGAGATTTTTAAGAAGAGACTGGACAGTCACTTATCTGAAAGGGTATAGGTTCTCCTGCTCGAGCAGGGGGCTGGACTAGAAGACCTCCGAGGTCCCTTCTAGATTCTATTCTATTCTATTCTATTCTATTCTATTCTATTCTATTCTATTCTATTCTATTCTATTCTATTCTATTGCATTCCACTCCACTCTATTCTATTCTATTCTATTGCACTCCACTCCACTCCACTCCACTCCATTCCATATTTTCTATTCTATTCTATTCTATTCTATTCTATTCTATTCTATTCTATTCTATTCTATTCTATTCTATTCTATTCTATTCCACTCCACTCCACTCCACTCCATTCCATTCCATTCTATTCTATTCTATTCTATTCTAATCTTGAGTGAGAAGACTTTAAGTCTCAAGACGGAACGCAAAAAAAAAAGGCAGAACTGAGAAAGAGAAAGTCACCACTTTTTTTTTTTTTTTTTTAAGAAAGTAAGAGCTATTCCTCGGTGGAATGCTTGGTGCTGTTTGAGCTGGGTAGTTTTCTTGCAGACGTTTCATTACCCAAGTAGGTAATATCATCAGTGCTAGAAGGGAGTGGTGGTTAGGGGGAGAAGGAGGAGGAGGAGGAGGGAAGGAGGAGGAGGGAAGGAGGAGGAAGAGGTCCTTGATCTCTATGAGCTTGGTGGTTTTCTTTTATTACCCAACCACGTAACATCTTCATTGCTAGAAGGGAGTGGTGATTAAGGAGCAGGAGGAGGAGGAGGAGGAAGAGGAGGAGAAGGAGGATGGACTGTGGGGTCCTTGGTGCTCTCTGAGCTTGGTTGTTTCCTTGCAGACGTTTCATTACCAAACTAAGTAACATCATCAGTGCTACAAGGGAGTGGGGCTTGCTCTCTGGGTAAATTATCAACTCAGTAAACAGCAGCCCACCAAGGAAGCAATGAAAACATGTCCACCACAGTGACAAGGAAAGTCACTGTTTATAAACAGAGAGCATGCCCCACTCTCTTCTAGCGCTGATGATGCTACCTAGTTTGGTACTGAAATAGCTCAAAGGATCCCACAGCTCCTCCTCCTCCCCCCCCCCCCACAAACCCCACTCCCTTCTAGCACTGATGATGTTCCCTATTTGGGTCATGAAACATCTGGAAGAAAACAACCAAGCTCAGAGAGCACCAAGGACCCCAGTCTTTTTTCTCCTCCTCCTCCTCCTCCTCCTCCTCCTCCTCCTCCTCCTCCTCCTCCTCCTCCTCCTGTTTTTTGTTCTTCCTCCATTCCATAAACTGCACTAATGCTGTTACTTTTGTGGAAGATGAAAATACAGCCCCCTCCCTATCTAATAAGATAGGGCTAGAACAACGCTGAAATAGCCCCCAACCCACAGAAGTGATTTGAAGCTTTAACTTGAACTTGATGCTGTTTCTCAATAAGGACATCCTATTTGTAACCTGCTGAGCTTTGTGCAATATGAAATTGCCAAGCAGGTAGTCCTGTGTATATCTGAAACGTGAGTGTTGTAATCGTGGGAAAAGAGGAACTGAAAGTAGCTGACGGATGGAAATTTCAGATGGGAACTGTCTTGCAAAGTAAGAATTATGAGTGGGTGGTCGGTAGCAGAAAAGTGTAAAAATGTTGGTTTAAGTCTGGCTGGGAGCCACTGGCCTATAGCTGTCCCTGATTACCAGGAATTAGGGGACAGTATTAATTACGAATACAAATAGTAATTTGGTCACTTGTAATCTTGGATTTAGGGTCAGGAAAGGATAGCAAGGACAACACCCAATGTCCTAACCCACCCAAGAACATACGATATCTTTAAATAACACTCCAATGGGAACATGTTTAGCTACTTCTGCTTTCTCCCTTCTTATCTACAGTGTGCCAGACTTACTGGGTGCAATCTTTATCTTATGTATGTCAGCTTTGCTGGATGGGTTGCTTATGTAATTATACAGAATAAATACAAGGATTTCTTGTCATTTGTTGCTCCCCACATTTAGAGGAGTGAGTCTGTCTCTATTCAGCTGAATAAACACCTAAAATTTAAAAGGCACTTTCTGGTTTCCTGTATTTCTTTAACCAGCAAAAACCTCAGAACCTGCATATCATCCCTTTGGAATCTGCTCTGCCACATGCTCCTCATTGCAACGGGTTGTCAGTGTAAGCGATGTGATGTTATTCTGCTACGTTCCAAATTGTGAGAAAAATAAACCTCTGAATCTCCAAGTAAGAATGATTGTTTTGTGTTGCTGCCTTGTCTTTTCCATTGGTTTTTTTTTCCCCACGACACTTCGCTGAGTAACGAAACGTCTGCAAGGAAACCACCAAGATCAGAGCGCACCAAGGTCCCCACAGATCCATCCTAAGCTACCAATATTCTCCTGGCACTTTCTAACTGGCTTTGCTTGGGAGAAGTTTGATTCTCCCTCAGCCCTGCAACGCGGCCGCCATTTTGAGGCGCCGCGAGACAGTCGTCCTTCATAGGACAGCAGGGAATCTATTTCTATCACTTCCGAGAGAGTCAATTGAGTCTTGTCACACCAGTGGCAGAAATTCCGCCAAGTGTGATCATAAATACGAGGCCAGAATCATGTCAATCATGCCTGACGAGGAGGACTGCTGTGACAGGGTGCGGCGCTCAAGCGCCAGGCGGCTAATTGGAGCCATTGGGGCTCTGGATGGTGCAGGGCCCCCTGAGTTAAAAATATGTGACTCGCGGGAATCCACCACGGAGGAGCCGTGGAAAGGCTCACGGGGTCTGCAAACCACGGTCGTCTCGGCCAGTGTGGAGCAATGACTATTAACTCCGCCTGCTCTTGCAATATCCTTCTGATAACTGCCGGGAATCAGAGGGAGAGGAGGATGGTGTGTGTAGAGAACCCCAAAGAATCTAAAATATCTCTCTTTCTGGGGTTTGGGCTGTGCTGAGGTGGTCCCTGGCAAGCCAACCAATATTGTCCTTGAATGGTGAATGATTTCACCCTGGGGTAAAGCAGATCCCTTAAGATCCCTTGCGACATTCCCACGGGGCTGCAAGAGATAGGATTGGGTACTACTACTACAGGTTGTGGAAACTCAGCCGTGTCACATGGCAGGGATACTCCACAAAGGGAACCTTCCTGCACTTAGAACAGGGATAGGCCACCTTGGCTCTTTTATGACTCGTGGACTTCAACTCCCAGAATTCCTGAGCCAGCCATGCTGAGGGGAAAGGGAGAGGTTTCCAAGCTGAGCCATGCCGGCTCAGGAATTCTGGGAGTTGAAGTCCACGAGTCATAAAGCGGCCTAGGCCTAGGCTAGAGGTAGGCCACCTTGGCTCTTTTATGACTTGTGGACTTCAACTCCCAGAATTCCTGAGCCAGCCATGCTGAGGGGAAAGGGAGAGGTTTCCAAGCTGAGCCAGGCTGGCTCAGGAATTCTGGGAGTTGAAGTCCACGAGTCATCAAAGAGCCAAGGTTGCCTACCCCTGACTTAGAACATTGGTTCCCAGCCTTAGCAACTGTAAAAAACATGGACTTGAACTCCCAGAATTCCCCAGAATTCCTCCTAAAGGTGCTGAGGGTAGGAAACACTGTCCTAGAGCAGGGGTCTTCAAACTTGACCCTTTTATGACTTGTGGACTGAAAGAAATAAAGGAAGAAAGAAAGAAAGAAAGAAAGAAAGAAAGAAAGAAAGAAAGAAAGAAAGAAAGACTGACAGACCGATGTGAAGATCATAGATAAGTGGAGAGAGAGAGATTTAGGAATAACACACTGATAAGTGAAGTCAGAAATATATTAATTTACAGTAGAAGGAAGGAAGGAAGGAAGGAAGGAAGGAAGGAAGGAAGGAAGGAAGGAAGGAAGGAAGGAAGGAAGAATTTAAGATAGAAAGATTGACAGATTAATGTGAAGATGATAGATAAGTGGAATAGAATAGAATAGAATAGGAATAGGAATAGGAATAGAATAAAACAGAACAGAATAGAATAGAAGGGACTTTGGAGGTCTTCTAGACCAGCCCCTGCTCAAACAAGAGAACCTATACATTTTCTCCCAGGCTTTATTTCAATTTATAATGCCTTAGTAAAACCATCCTTGGAATATTGCATCCAGTTTTGGTCATCACGATGTAAAAAAGATGTTGAGACTCTAGAAAGAGTTCAGAGAAGAGCAATTAAGATGATCCAAGGCCTGGAGACTAAAACGTATGAAGAATGGCTGCAAGACATGGGTTTGGCCAGTCTAAAGAAAAGAAGAAATAGGGGAGACATGATAGCAGTTATTCTAGTATTTGAGGGGCTGCCCCAAAGAAGAGGGAGTCAAGCTATTCTCCAAAGCACCTGAAGGCAGGACAAGAAGCAACGGATGGAAACTAATCAAGGAGAAAAACAACCTGGAACTAAGGAGAAATTTTCTGACAGTTAGAACAATTAGCCAGTGGAACAACCTGCCTCCAGAAGCTATGAATGCTCCAACACTGGAAGTTTTTAACTAATCAAGGAGAGAAGCAACCTGGAATTAAGGAGGGATTTCCTGACAGTTTGAACAATTATAGCTACTGTAGTTGTCAACTTACCACCACAACTGAGCCCAGAATTTATCTTGCGAAGGGAGACAGTCGTAAAGTGAGTTTTGCTCCATTTTACGACTTTCCTTGCCACAGTTGTTAAGTCAATCACTGCAGTGGTTGTTAAGTGAATCTGGCTTCCCCATTGACTTTGCTGATCAGAAAGTCACCAAAGGGGATCACGTGATCCCCCCACTCCCGGGACATGGCAACCGTCATAAACACGAGTCAGTGGCCAAGTGTCTTGAGTTTCAATCACGTGACCCTGAGGACGCTGCAACGGTCCTAAGCGTGAAAAACGGTCACAAGTCCCTTTTTTTTCTCAGTGCCGTTGTAACTTGGAACGGCCACTAAATGAACTGTGGTAAGTCAAGGCTACCTGTATACGGAAAAGAAGAAAAATTTAGAATTCAGAATTCCTAATTTTTAAAACTCTGGGCAGGGGATCCATCCGTGGAGGTTTTTCCAGAAGGAATCCGACCACCGTTTGCCCAGAATGGTATATAGCAGTGGTTCTCAACCTTTTTAATGCTGCGACCCCCAACCGGTCGTTAAGTCGAGGACTATTCAACCGGTTGTAAGTCGAGGACTACTCAACTGGTGCAGCACCATTTGCAGAATGGGACTTTTGGCGGGCTCAGCAGGGCAGAGACAGCCTGGACAATTCCTATTGGCTTTTGAAAGCCAATAGAATTAGACTCTATTCAAGAGAGTCTATTCGATTGGCTTTCAAAAGCCAATAGAATAAAAGGGAGTAGCACAGCTAAGGAAAAGGGGAGGAAAAAATGGCGGACTGCGTTGTTTGGCGATCCCCGTGAAATGGTCGCTCGACCCCAAATGGGGTCCTGACCCACAGGTTGAGAACCGCTGGTATATAGGATCTCCTGCTCGAGCAACGGGGTTGGTCTAGAGGACCTCCAAGGTCCCCTCCAGACTCTCCTACTCTGATTTCTCTACCTACTCTCAGCCTTTGCAGCTGTAGATGCCACCAGCCACCCTCCCAGCCTTTTTGGGACCCTCACCTTCCTTCGGCACACCTGCTCCATAGCCATGCCCGGACTGGTGCCCGTCACGTGTTGCCGCACCAGCAACACGGCACAAACGAAACCGTCCCGGGCACTGACGAAACGCTGCTCCAGGAAAAAGGCCCGGTGGTCCCAGCCTCGGATACGGGTCCGGATGGTGAAATGCTCCAGAAGGTGCAGCGAACGCCGGAAGCGGCAGCAGGAGGCAGCCAGCATTGTGTGGCCCCCAAGGGCCCAGATGGCTTGGAAGAGCCCGCAGCGGACCATGTAAACGCAGCGCGCCATGTCAGCCTCCCGGGGGTAACGGGCGTTGTTCATGTGCACCAGCAGGTCCAAGTCGGAGGGCAGCACCCAGCTGTGGAACTGCTGCTCCTGCAGAGGATCCGGGATGGAAGGCAGCAGCCACCTGGCGTACAGGTAAGTCAGGGGCATCCTCAGCAAGTACCAGCCATCCAGGTAGGTGAAAAAGGCTGCTGCGGCAGTCCCGCAGATCATCATCAGCGGCGCCATGCTCAGAGGCTCACCTGGGCCCAGGTGAGAGGATGCTCAGATGCACCAGGGGGGGCAGGGAAGACCTTGGCCAGCACCGGGCGCAGACTGTCTTCCTGTCTGCTGGTGCAGCTGTGGAATGAACCACTCCAGACCGGCTGGGGGAGCTCCTCCTTCGCCTGGCTCCCCCTTCCTTGCTCTGCACTTTGGTTTCTTCCTGCTTTCAGCCCCCAGCTCCTCCCCTCTTGCCAGTCAGCTTTAGTCTGCCAGGTCTGGGCCTAGTGTGGCCCACAGCGCCCCCTGGTGGCTCCTCCACTCCCTGCAGCTCAGGGAGGGAGGGAAGGAAGGAAGGAAGGAAGGAAGGAAGGAAATGTGTGAGGAGGTGGGTGGGAAGGAGAAAGGAAGGAAGGAAGAGAGAGGGTGGTGGGAAGAAGGAAGGAAGGAAGGAAGGAAGGAAGGAAGGAAGGAAGGAAGGAAGGAAGGAAGGAAGGAAGGAAGGAAGGAAGGAAATGTATGAGGAGAGAGGGTGGGTGGGAAGAAGGAAGGAAGGAAGGAAATGTGTGAGGAGGTGGGTGGGAAGGAGAAAGGAAGGAAGGAAGAGAGAGGGTGGGTGGGAAGAAGGAAGGAAGGAAGGAAGGAAGGAAGGAAGGAAGGAAGGAAGGAAGGAAGGAAGGAAGGAAAGAAATCCTCATTTATTTTAGGGATGGTGGCTCTATCTTTCCTCTATCTGCATCAAGATTTTTACATTTGAAAACAACACCCACTTAACCATTCGTTGCTGCTGTCCCCTCAAACCGGAAGATTTGAAGTTTTAATGCAGGTTTTTTTTTTTTTAAAAAAAAAATTAAACTCCAACTGTATCGTGGTGTTTTAGCGCCCCCTGCTGTCAAATGCAAACTCATGCTTTTCAAATGAGTAAGGATAGACTGCAAGGCGATCAAACCGGTCAGTCCTAGAGGAGATCAACCATGACTGCTCCTTAGAAGGCCAGATCCTGAAGCTGAAACTCAAATACTTTGGCCACCTAATGAGAAGGAAGGACTCACTGGAAAAGGGCCTAATGTTGGGAAAGATTGAGGGCAATAGAAGAAGGGGACGACAGAGAATGAGGTGGCTGGATGGAGTCCCTGAAGCGGTAGGTGTGAGCTTCAATGGACTCCAGAAGATGGTAGAGGACAGGAAGACCTGGAGGAACATTGTCCATGGGGTTGCGATGGGTCGGACACTACTTTGCAATTAACAACAACAACAACAAAGGATAGATAGATAGATAGATAGATAGATAGATAGATAGATAGATAGATGTGGAGAGATAGAGATAGATAGATAGATAGATAGATAGATAGATAGATAGATAGATAGATAGATAGATAGATGGATGGATGGATGGATGGATGGATGGATGGATGGATGGATGGATGGATGGATGGATGGATAGATAGATAGATAGATAGATAGATAGATAGATAGATAGATAGATAGATAGGCAGGCAGGCAGGCAGGCAGGCAGGCAGGCAGGCAGAGACAGAGATAGACACAGAGATAGCTTCTATTCTAGATAGATAAAAATAAATTCTTGCAGTTTTCTTGGCAAGATTTCAGAAGTGGTTTGCCATTGCATCCTTCCTAGGGCTGAGAGAAAATGACAGGCCCAGGGTCACCCAGCCAGCATTGTGCCTCAGATGGAACTCACAGACCTCTGCTTTCTAGCCTGTGTCTTAACCTCTACATCAAAGGAAGAGAGAACTACAGCACCAGAGCAGAAAATCAGAATCGTCAGGGTGAGGAGGGGGTGTCCGTTTCTAGCAGGACTAAGATAGTCCAACCCCCTACTCAGGCAGGAAACCCTACACCATTCCAGACAAGTCCAATCTCTTCTTAAAAACTTCCAGTGTTGGAGCACCCACAACTTCTGGTGGCAAGCTGTTCCACTGGTTAATTGTTCTAGCTGTTGGGAAATTCCTCCTTAGTTCCAGGTTGCTTCTCTCCTTGATTAGTTTCCATCCGTTGCTTCTTGTCCTGGTGCTTTGGAGAATAGGTGGACCCCTTCTTCTTTGTGGCAAACCTTCAGATATTGGAAGACTGCTATCAGTCTTTTTTTTATCTTCTAGACCAGGGGTGTCAAAACTGCCGGCCTGAAGGCTGGATGCGTCACGTGGAAGCCATGCCCACCCATTGCCGACAATGGCAAAATTGGCCTGATATGTTGCACGACGTCACGTGACATCGCGAGTTTGACATGCCTGTTCTAGACTATCAATCTTTTTCGACCAGTGTTCTTTTCACTAGACTATCAGTCTTCTTTCATCTTCTAGACTATCAGCCCTTCTATTAGTCTTCTTCTCTCAGTCTTCTTTTCACTAGACTATCATTCTTAGATCTTTTAAATTATCAGTCTTCTTCTCTTAATCTTCTTCTCTCAGTCTTCTTTTCACTAGACTAGACATGTCCAATTCCTGCCACCATTCTTCATATGTTTTAGCCTCCAGCCCCCCTAATTATCTTTGATGCTCTTCTCTGCACTCTTTCTCCAAAAGAAGAGAGAGAGGAGGAACATCTGAGTTTGCAGCCCTCTTTCTTTGAGGGTTCAGGAGCTTAGAGCAAGTGTGCAGAATTTTGTTCCATTTTTCTTCTTCAGTGGGTGTGCGGGAATATCTTTAGAAAGAGGAGTGTGGAAGAGAAAACTCTCACCGTCAAAACCCTGCAAAGGGATGTGTGTCAAGAAGGCAGGACAAGAAGCAACGGATGGAAACTCATCAAGGAGAGAAGCAACCTAGAAACTTCCTGACAGTGAGGACAATTAACCGGTGGAACAACCTGCCTCCAGAAGTTGTGAATGCTCCAACACTGGAAGTTTTTAAGAAAAGACTGGACAGCCATTTGTCCGAAATGGTGTAGGGTTTCCTGCCTGAGCAGGGGGTTGGACTAGATGACCTCCAAGGTCCCTTCCAACTTTATTATTATTGTTATTGTTTTTGTTGTTATTATTATTATTAAGGTTGCTGATTAGTTTACCTGGAAGAATGTTGGACCACCTGCCACCCCTTCCTCAACTAATTAACTATCTCAGCTGGTGTATGTATAGGACAGGGGTAGGCAACCTTGGCTCTTTTATGACTGGTGGACTTCAACTCCCAGAATTCCTGAGCCAGCCAAGCTGAGGGGAAAGGGAAAGGTTTCCATGCTGAGCCATGCTGGCTCAGGAATTCTGGGAGTTGAAGTCCACGAGTCATGAAGGGGCCACGTTTGAAGACTCCTGTCTTAAATCTAACAAAACAAAATGGAGGCTGGCTGAAGAATTCTGGGAGTTGTAGTCCACCAGTCATAAAAGAGCCAAGGTTGCCTACCCCTGGTCTAAGAGGCTCACTGCTTAGAGCAGGAGGACTTAGGCCAGGGGTAGGCAACCTCAGCTCTTTTATGACTGGTTGACTTCAACTCCCAGAATTCCTGAGCCAGCCACGCTGAGGGGAAAGGGAGAGGTTTCCAAGCTGAGCTATGCAGGCTCAGGAATTCTGGGAGTTGAAGTCCAGACACACCAAGGTTGGGAAGCACTACCTCAGATTGTATTTTTTTTCTTCCTAAGAACAGCAAATTCTTGCCTCAAGAAACAAATATACTTGGTTAACACAGATTGCCAGTAGAATAAAACTTTCTGGGTATAGGCCAGAGGTAGGCAACCTTGGCCCTTTTATGACTGGTGGACTTCAACTCCCAGAATTCCTGAGCCAGCCATGCTGAGGGGAAAGGGAGAGGTTTCCAAGCTGAGTCATGCTGGCTCAGGAATTCTGGGAGTTGAAGTCTGCAAGTCATGAAGGGGCCATAGTTCCCCCATGCTGGCTCAGGAATTCTGGGAGTTGAAGTCCATGAGTCATGAGGGGCATAGTTCCCCCATGTGGCTGAGGAATTCTGGGAGTTGAAGTCCACAAGTCATGAAGGGACCATAATTCCCCCATGCTGGCTCAGGAATTCTGGGAATTGAAGCCCACCAGTCACAAAAGAGCCAAGGTTGCCTACCCCTGGTATAGACAGTCCTCAACTTACAACACATTGTTTGGTGACCGTTCAAAGTTACAACAGCAGTGAAAAAAGGGACTGACGACCATTTTTCACACTTACAACCGTTGAAGCATTCCCCAGGATCACGTGATCAAAATTCAGACGCTCAGCAACAGACTCATATTTATGACGGTCACGGCATCCCGAGAGTCACGTGATGCCCTTTGGCGATCTTCTGACAAGCGAAGTCAGTGGGGGAAACCAGATCCACTACACAACCAGGTTACTAAGTTAACAAGTGCAGTGACTAACTTAACAACGGAGGCGAGAAAGGTCATAAAACGGGGAAAAATTCACTTATCCAATGTTTCCCTCAATTGCGATCGTAATTTATTTATTTTCTGGATGTTTTTATTGGTATTTTTTTTTTAATCCCAAAGATGCTTTTTTTTTCCACGAGGCCACTGGATTTTCTTGTTTTCCTTTGTTTTTTTTTTAATGTTTTTTTTTAAAAAATCGTTTTAATGCTTTTATAGTTTTAGAATGGTAAGTTCCCCAGAGAAATTGAACAAACAAACAAACAAACAAAAAAAAAAACAAGCTTAATTTAAAAACATAACAACACGAGGGATAAAGAATGGATTCTCAGTTTTATCTACGTTCTTCGATGCTTGGTCGGGCAAAAATAAACAATAATAACTATACGTGTTTGACTTTACAAAATCTTGCATTGAATCCGTCAGACAGGACGGCCTGAGAAGGATGGATGCTGTTCCATACCATGGAGGGATACTGGAAATCTCGTCTCTCTGGAAGTCACAGAAAGACAATCTTTATGTTTTGGCAAGGCAAATATTCCTCTTTGCTTTACATTAAAAGGTTCAAAATAGCTTCGGGAGATCCTGTGACCAAATAAAACATCTGGATCTGGTAAGGAACAAAGATTTGATAGGTATATTTGGAAATACTGCTCCTGGATTAGATACAGAACACCCAATGGCATGTTGGAGGAGGAGGAGGAGGAGGAGGAGGAGGAGGAGGAGGAGGAGGAGGAGGAGGAGGAGGAGGAGGAGGAGACAGAAAAAGGGAAGAGGGAAGAGGGGGGAAGAAAGAAAGGGAATGAGAAGGAAGCAAGAAAAGAAAAACGAGGGAAGGCAGGCAAGCAGGAAGGAAGGGAAAAGCAGGAGGAGGAAGAGAGAAGGAGAAGAACAAGGAAGAGAAGGAGAAAGAGAAGTAGAACAAGCAGGAAAAGGAGAGGGAGGAGGTAGAGGAGGAGGAGATGGGAAAAGGAAAGAGGGAGTGAGGGAGGGAGGGAGGAAGATGGAATGAGAAGAAAGAAAGAAAAAATTGAGGGAAGGCAGGCAGGCAGGCAGGAAGAAAGGAAAAAGGAGGAGAAGAGAAGAGGAAGAACAAGAAGGGAAGGAGATTGAGATGAAGAACAAACAAGAGAAGGAGGAGGAAGAGGAGGAGGAGACAGAAAAAGGAAAGGGAGGGAGGAAGGAAAGGAAGGAAGGAAAACGGAATGAGAAGAAAGCAAAAGAAAAACGGAAGGCAGGCAGGAAAGGAAAAGGAGGAGAAGGAGAAGAGAAGGAGAAGAACAAGGAAGAGAAGAAGAAAGAGGCAAAGAAGAACAGGGAGGAGAAGGAGAGGGAAGAGGAGGAGGAGAGAAGGAGAGGGAGGAGAGTAAGGAAGAGGAGGAGGAGGAGAAAGAAGGAGAGGGAAGAGGAGGAGAGGAAGGAAGAGGAGGAGGAGGAGCAAGAAGGAGAAGGAGGAGAAGGAGGAGAGCAAGGAAGAGGAGGAGGAGGAAAGAAGGAGAGTGAGGAGGAGGAGAGTAAGGAAGAGGAGGAGAAAGGAGAGGTAGGAGGAGGAGGAGAAAGGAGAGGGAGGAGGCGGAGGAGAGCAAGGAGGAGGAGAAAGAAGGAGAGTGAGGAGGAGGAGAGTAAGGAAGAGGAGGAGAAAGGAGAGGTAGGAGGAGGAGGAGAAAGGAGAGGGAGGAGGCGGAGGAGAGCAAGGAAGAGGAGGAGGAGGAGGAGAAAGAAGGAGAGTGAGGAGGAGGAGAGTAAGGAAGAGGAGGAGAAAGGAGAGGGAGGAGGAGGAGGAGAAAGGAGAGGGAGGAGGCGGAGGAGAGCAAGGAAGAGGAGGAGGAGGAGAAAGAAGGAGAGTGAGGAGCAGGAGAGTAAGGAAGAGGAGGAGAAAGGAGAGGGAGGAGGAGGAGGAGAAAGGAGAGGGAGGAGGAGGAGGAGAGCAAGGAAGAGGAGGAGGAGGAGAAAGAAGGAGAGTGAGGAGGAGGAGAGCAAGGAAGAGGAGGAGAAAGGAGAGGGAGGAGGAGGAAGGTACGTGTGTTTCAATATTTGAGTAGGAACAGAGGAAAACTACACTCGATACTAATGACACGGTCCCTTTCTTCTTCCTTTTCCATTCTTCTGCTCCTGGAGACTCTTCTCCTCCCCGCTCTCCATCTCAACCACCTTCCAGCAGGAGAGACCAGGTCCTTGTTTGGGCACTGGGGAGAGTTGTCTTCCCCACAACCAACCCAGCCTCTCCCTGGAGGGTTATCCTTGAAGCCAGAGCAGAGACACGGCGAGGATGACGGTGAAGCTCAGGGCACCGAACTCCACCGTGGCTGCCTGACCCGCACCCACGTTGCACAAATCCGTGTGACAGCAGTAGTCGGGATGATTGTCGCCGATGGTGTCCGGCTCAGAGGGCACACAGGTTTTGGAGCAAGATTTGCTGACTGTGATGTTTCCAAAAAAGGGGAAACCTGGGGGAGACCAGTAATAACAAGGGTAAGAGATGGTGGGGGAGGGAGGAGATTTATTATTCATCATCATCATCATCATCATCATCATCATCATCATCATCATCCATTAATGGAGTGTTGCTAACTGTGATGTTCAGAAGTTGCCCAGCCAGCCAGTGGGGGGATTCAGCCAGTTCGCACCAGTTTGGCACAACCGGTAGCTAATTTTTTGTTGCCCAGGCCCAGAATGGACTTCCGGAAGCGGCAACCACACAGAGAACTGGTTGTTCCCATATCTGAATCCCACCACTGGATAGTTGGATAGATAGATAGATAGATAGATAGATAGATAGATAGATAGATAGATAGATAGATAGATAGATAGATAGATAGATAGATAGATAGATAGATAGATAGATAGATAGATAGATAGATAGTGGTGGAATTCAGCCAGTTCGCCCCACTTTGACAGAACTGGTAGCTAATTTTTTGTTGCCCAGGCCCAGAATGGACTTCTGGAAGTGGCATCCACGCAGAGAATTTGTTCCCATATCTGAATCCCACCACTGGATAGATAGATAGATAGATAGATAGATAGATAGATAGATAGATAGATAGATAGATGATAGATAGATAGATAGATAGATAGATAGATAGATAGATAGATAGATAGATAGATAGTGGTGGAATTCAGCCAGTTCGCCCCACTTTGACAGAACTGGTAGCTAATTTTTTGTTGCCCAGGCTCAGAATGGACTTCTGGAAGTAGCATCCACGCAGAGAACTGGTTGTTCCCATATCTGAATCCCACCACTGGATAGATAGATAGATAGATAGATAGATAGATAGATAGATAGATAGATAGATAGATAGATAGATAGAGGTGGGATTCAGCCATTTCGCCCCACTTTGACAGAACCAGTAGCTAATTTTTTGTTGCCCAGGCCCAGAATGGACTTCTGGAAGCGGCATCCACGCAGATAACTGGTTGTTTCCATATCTGAATCCCATCGCTGGATAGATAGATAGATAGATAGATAGATAGATAGATAGATAGATAGATAGATAGATAGATAGATAGATAGATAGATAGTGGTGGAATTCAGCCAGTTCGCCCCACTTTGACAGAACTGGTAGCTAATTTTTTGTTGCCCAGGCCCAGAATGGACTTCTGGAAGTGGCATCCACGCAGAGAATTTGTTCCCATATCTGAATCCCACCACTGGATAGATAGATAGATAGATAGATAGATAGATAGATAGATAGATAGATAGATAGATGATAGATAGATAGATAGATAGATAGATAGATAGATAGATAGATAGATAGATAGATAGTGGTGGAATTCAGCCAGTTCGCCCCACTTTGACAGAACTGGTAGCTAATTTTTTGTTGCCCAGGCTCAGAATGGACTTCTGGAAGTAGCATCCACGCAGAGAACTGGTTGTTCCCATATCTGAATCCCACCACTGGATAGATAGATAGATAGATAGATAGATAGATAGATAGATAGATAGATAGATAGATAGATAGATAGAGGTGGGATTCAGCCATTTCGCCCCACTTTGACAGAACCAGTAGCTAATTTTTTGTTGCCCAGGCCCAGAATGGACTTCTGGAAGCGGCATCCACACAGATAACTGGTTGTTTCCATATCTGAATCCCATCGCTGGATAGATAGATAGATAGATAGATAGATAGATAGATAGATAGATAGATAGATAGATAGATAGTGGTGGGATTCAGCCAGTTCGCCCCACTTTGACAGAACCGGTAGCTAATTTTTTGTTGCCCAGACCCAGAATGGACTTCCGGAAATGGAATCCACACAGAGAACCGGTTGTTCACCTATTTGAATCCCACCATTGAGCCCAGCTTATCATTAGAACAAACCAAGATTCTTACTCTCAGGGTTACTCAGGCCATAGAAAGGAAAGCCTGGAGCTGCTGACTGGATCTGGATCTTTCCCCACATCCTGCCCAGCCAGGAAGGACAATGAAGCATCTTTGGGGTCCCTCACAGTCTACTGAGAATTTGACCTTTCTCCCCGACACATTCTTTCTATTATAAATCAATAAAATTCTCTCTCTTTCTCCAAAGCACCAGAGTGAAGGATGAGAAACAACGGTTGGAAACTGATCAAGGAGAGAAGCAACCTGGAATTGAGGAGTAACTTCCTGACAGTGAGGACAATCAACCAGTGGAAGAGAAGTTGCCTCCAGAAATTGTGGGCGCTTCATCATTGGAGGTTTTTAAGAAGATGCTAGACAGTCATTTGTCTGAGATGGTGTAGGTTCTCCTGCTTGAGCAGGGGGCTGGACTAGAAGACCTCCAAGGTCCCTTTCAGCTTCTATTCTATTCTATTCTATTCTATTCTATTCTATTCTATTCTATTCTATTCTATTCTATTCTATTCTGCATTCTATTCTATTCTCTACTCTACTCTACTCTATTCTACTCTATTCTGCATTCTATTCTGCATTGCATTCTGTTCTACTCTACTCTAATCTATTCTATTCTGCATTATTCTATTCTATTTTCTATTCTATTCTGCATTCTATTCTATTCTATTTTCTATTCTATTCTATTCCATTCTATTCTATCTTCTATTTCATAGACTAGTCTGGTGCATATCAGGGAAGGGAGAGAGCTATTCTATTCTATTCTATTCTATTCTATTCTATTCTATTCTATTCTATTCTATTCTATTCTATTCTATTCCATTCCATATTCCATTTCCATTCCATTCCATTCCATATCTATTCTATTCTATTCTATTCTATTCTATTCTATTCTATTCTATTCTATTATTATTCTATCTATATTCATTCCATTCCATTCCATTCCATTCCATATTCTATTCTGCTATTCTATTCTATTCTATTCTATTCTATTCTATTCTATTCTATTCTATTCTATTCTATTCTATTCTATTTATTCCATTCCATTCCATTCCATTCCATTCTATTCTATTCTATTCTATTCTATTCTATTCTATTCTATTCTATTCTATTCTATTCTATTCTATTCTATTATATTCTATCTATTCTATTCTATTCTATTCTTCCATTCCATTCCATATTTCTATTATTCTATTCTATTCTATTCTATTCTATTCTATTCTATTCTATTCTATTCTATTCTATTCTATTCTATTCTATATTCTATTCCATTCCATTCTATTCATTCTATTCTATTCTATTCTATTCTATTCTATTCTATCTATTCTATTCTATTCTATTCTATTCTATTCATTCCATTCCATATTTTCTATTCTATTCTTCTATTCTATTCTATTCTATCTATTCTATTCTATTCTATTCTATTCTATTCTATTCCATATTTTCTATTCTATTCTATTCTATTCTATTCTATTCTATTCTATTCTATTCTATTCTATTCTATTCTATTCTATTCTATCCTCCAAAGTATCTGAAGGCGGGACAAGATGCAACAAATGGAAAGTAATCAAGGAGAGAAGCAACCTGGAATTAAGGAGAAACTCCCTAACAGTGAGGACAATTAATCAGTGGAACAGCTTTCCCCCAGAAACTGTGGGTGCTCCATCACTGGAGGTTTTTAAGAAGACAACCATTTGTCTGAAACAATATAGGGTCTCCTGCTTGAGCAGGGGGTTGGACTAGAAGACCTCCAGTGGTGGAGTGCCCACGATTTCTGGAGGAAAGCGGTTAATTGTTCTCGCTGTCAGGAAGTTTCCCCTTAATTCCAGGTTGATTTTCTCCTTGATTAGTTTCCATCTGTTGTTTCTTGTCCTGCCTTCTTGATTCCATCCCTCTCTTAAGCCAGCCTAGGATTGCATCGGCTTTTTTGGCTGCTGCTGCACATGGTTTGCTCATCTTAGAATCCATCATATAGGCGTGCCTGCAGTATGGATTCTAAGATACCCTTGCCTGTGAAATGAGCATAAACTGCTCAGAAAGCCATCAGCCCACAGAAGCAATGAAAACAGTTTTTTTGTTTTTTGTTTTGCTGGCTGCAAATTTCAGTACAACGGTCAACCCTGGAGCAAAAGAAGAAAGCTGAATGCACAGGTGAGGCTGTGTCTCACCTGAATCCACCGAGTGGACGGTTGTCTTGCAAGCAGTGGTGTTCTCTGGGCAGTGGGTGACGGTCAGGCAGTAGCGGACATCCATGGGTTCACTGCAGGTGTAACACTGCAAAGACACACCTGCAACACCAGAGAAGAAGATCAGAATCACAAGGGTGGGCAGGCTCTGTTTCTAGCAGGACTGAGATTGACATCCTGACAATCTGGTGTAAGCAAGCGAACGTCAGCTTTTTACTTTTGTAGAATGGAATGGAGTGGAGTGGAGTTGAATAGAATAGGATAGAATAGAACGGAACAGAATGGAACAGAACAGAACAGAACAGAATAGAAAATAGAATAGAAAATAGAATAGAATAGAATAGAATAGAATAGAATAGAATAGAATAGAATGGAATGGAGTGGAGTGGAGTGGAGTGGAGTGGAGTGGAGTGAAGTTGAATAGAATAGGATGGAATGGAATGGAATGGAACGGAACAGAACAGAACAGAACAGAACAGAATAGAAAATATAGAATGGAATGGAACAGAACAGAATGGAATGGAGTAGACTGGAGTTGAATAGAATAGGATAGAATAGAACGGAACAGAATGGAACAGAACAGAACAGAATAGAAAATAGAATAGAAAATAGAAAATAGAATAGAATAGAATAGAATAGAATAGAATAGAATAGAATAGAATAGAGTGGAGTGGAGTGAAGTTGAATAGAATAGGATGGAATGGAATGGAATGGAATGGAATAGAACAGAACAGAACAGAATAGAAAATATAGAATGGAATGGAACAGAACAGAATGGAATGGAGTAGACTGGAGTTGAATAGAATAGGATAGAATAGAACGGAACAGAATGGAACAGAACAGAACAGAATAGAAAATAGAATAGAAAATAGAATAGAATAGAATAGAATAGAATAGAATAGAACAGAATAGAATAGAATAGAATAGAGTGAAGTGGAGTGGAGTGAAGTTGAATAGAATAGGATGGAATGGAATGGAATGGAACGGAACAGAACAGAACAGAACAGAATAGAAAATATAGAATGGAATGGAACAGAACAGAATGGAATGGAGTAGACTGGAGTTGAATAGAATAGGATAGAATAGAACGGAACAGAATGGAACAAAACAGAACAGAATAGAAAATAGAATAGAATCAAAAATAGAATAGAATAGAATAGAATAGAATAGAATGGAATGGAATGGAATGGAGTGGAGTGGAGTGGAGTGGAGTGGAGTGGAGTGGAGTGGAGTGGAGTGGAGTTGAATAGAATAGGATAGAATGGAACAGAACGGAACAGAACAGAATAGAATAGAAAATATGGAATGAAACAGAATGGAATGGAATGGAGTGGAGTGGAGTGGAGTTGAATAGGATAGAGCGGAATGGAACGGAATGGAACAGAACAAAACAAGGGAACAACAGAATGGAACAGAACAGAACAGAAAATATGGAATGGAACAGAACAGAATAGAAAATATGGAACAGAACAGAATAGAAAATATGGAATGGAACAGAACAGAATAGAATAGAAAATATGGAACAGAACAGAAAATATGGAATGGAATAAAATGGAACGGAACAGAATGGAATAGAATAGAATGATTGTCCAATCTCTTCTTAAAAACTTCCAGTTGTCAATGCGCTAACAATATATGCAGGTGATCCTTGACCTACGTCCACAACTGAACCCCAAAAGTTCTGTTGCTAAGTGAGACGTTAAGGGAATCTTGCCCCATTTTATGACCTTTCTTATCTTGGTGATTCGATTAGTAACCCGGTTGTTAAGTGAATCTGGCTTCCCCGTGGACACAAAAAAGGGACCACGTGACCCCGGGGCACTGCAACCATCATAAGTACAAGTCAGTTGCCAAACATCTGAATTGTGATCACGTGACTCCAGGGACGCTACAAGGGTCATAAGTGTGAAAAGCGGTCATAAGTCACTATACTTCAGTACCGTCATAACTTGGAAAGGTCACTAAATGAACCGTTTGTAAGTTGCTTGTAGCTGCCTGTAGTTCAGTTTGAGTTCCTCTGCTGTGACTGGAATTAGGCTGTGAGGTTCCATCTTGGAATCAATATTCTTAAATAGCTAGAGACTAGAAGACCTCAAGGGACCCTCCCAGCCGTATTATTCCATGTTCTAACGTCCGGTGCACACAGTCCTCAACTTACAATAGCTCATTTAGTGACCGTCCCAAGTTACGACGACGCTGAAAAAAAGTGACTTACGGCTGTTTTTCACACTTGGTGATTGTTGTGGCATCCTCCAGGGTCATCAGCCCAAATTCAGAGGTTTGGCAACTGACTTGTACTTATGACAGTTGCCATGTCCTAGGTCAGGGGTAGGCCACCTTGGCTCTTTTAGGACTGGTGGACTTCAACTCCCAGAATTCCTGAGCCAGCCATGCTGAGGGGAAAGGGAGAGGTTTCCAAGCTGAGCCATGCTGGCTCAGGAATTCTGGGAGTTGAAGTCCACGAGTCATGAGGGGGGGCATAGTTACCCCATGCTGGCTGAGGAATTCTGGGAGTTGAAGTCCACCAGTCACAAAAGAGCCAAGGTTGCCTACCCCTGTCCTAGGGTCACATGATCTCCCCTTTTGTGACCTTCCGACAAGCAAAGTCAACGGGGGGGGGAAGCGAGGTTGGCTTCACAACCGTCTGACTAATTTCACAACTGCAGTGATTCACATAACAACGGGGGCAAGAAAGATCGTAAGACGGGGCAAAACTCCCTTAACAAATGTCTCGCTTCGCAACCCGAATTTTGGGCTGTAAATTGAGGACCACCTCTCTATATTGTCCTATACAAGTAAAAAGCCGAGGTTTTATGTTATTATCATAATCATAATCATAAAGTTGGAAGGGACCTTAGAGGTCATCTAGTCCAACCCCCTGCTCAGGCAGGAAACCCTATACCATTTCAGACAAATGGCTGTCCAGTCTCTTCTTAAAAACTTCCAGTGTTGGAGCATCCACCGCTTCTGGAGGCAGGTTGTTCCACTGGTTAATTGTTCTCACTGTCAGGAAGTTTCTCCTTAGTTCTAGGTTGCTTCTCTCCTTGGTTAGTTTCCCTCCGTTGCTTCTTGTCCTGCCTTCAGGGGCTTTGGAGAATAGCTTGACTCCCTCTTCTTTGGGGCAGCCCCTGAGATATTGGAACATGGCTATCATGTCCCCCCTCGTCCTTCTCTTTATTAAATGAGACATCCCCAGTTCCAGCAACCGTTCTTTGTATGTTTTAGCCTCCAGACCTCTTATTCTACTGCACCAAAAGGAATCTTGGAAGTCAATGCTTCCCCCGCCCCCATTTCCTCTCTACCCTATGCTTTTCCCCCTTCCCTTTTCCCTCCCTTATTCTCCCATTATTTTGTTTTTTTATTTTTGTATTTTACCTTGTATTTTGATCAAGTGACAAAATGTTGAAACCAGGAAAAACAAAAAACAAAGAACGTCTCCCACTATTGCTGACAGACGAGAGAAACTAAAGGATCCGGGAATCTGTTGGAAGGGCAGCTAAATCTGCCACTTTCGTGTGAGTAACTTACCTTTTGAGTCGGCATTCACCCTGGCTGAATTCATTCCACACTCTTAACTAGGTTAGCTTTAGGGTGAACCGCCATTTCCCATTATTAAAAGGCATTGTAAAAAGGATTCACCACCTTCCCTCCCTCCATCTATCTCTAGTGGGCATTCTTTACAACCCCACACATTGAACTTCAAAGAACTTGATCAATCAATCAATCAATCAGAATAGAGCTGGAATGGACCTTGGAGGTCTTCTAATGCAACCCCCCTGCTCATATACCAGACAAGTGACTGTCCAGTTCCAGTGATAAAGCACCCACAATTTCTGGTGGCAAGCTGTTCCACTGGTTAACTGTTAAGATGTTTCTCTTTATTTCCAGGATCCAGAAATAGCTTTGTTCTACTACCAGAGATGATGATTGTCAATCATCTCCTTCTCCTTCTCCTTCTCCTCCTCCTCCTCCTCCTCCTCCTCCTCCTCCTCCTCCTCCTCCTCCTCCTCCTCCTCCTCCTCCTCCTCCTCCTCATCCTCCCCTCCTCTAATCTTCTTCTTCTTCTTCTTCTTCTTCTTCTTCTTCTTCTTCTTCTTCTTCTTCTTCTTCTTCTTCTTCTTCTTCTTCTTCTTCTTCTTCTTCTTCTTCTTTCTTCTCCTCTCTCCTCCTCTTTTCTACAAACCCTACTCCCTTCTATCACTGCTCTTCTTCTTCTTCTTCTTCTTCTTCTTCTTCTTCTTCTTCTTCTTCTTCTTCTTCTTCTTCTTCTTCTTCTTCTTCTTCTTCTTCTTCTCCTCCTCCTCCTCCTCCTCCTCCTCCTCCTCCTCCTCCTCCTCCTCCTCCTTCTCCTTCTCCTTCTCCTTCTTCTTCTTCTTCTTCTTCTTCTTCTTCTTCCTTCCCACCCCCTCCTCCTCCACAACACACTTTTCTCACCCAGTGTAGAAACGACCACCCTTCTCCCAGGTTTAGTGCCTCTTCTTTTTACCTTGCCCAAATATTTCTCCCTGACATTTGATCTTACCAAGGTCTACAGCCGCTGCACAAATCAGCCAGGCAGTAGCCAGAGATACTTTCATTGTTGCACAGAAAACTGCCGCACACCCTCAGGCTTTCTTCCTTGGACTGAGCTCAACAACACAGCCAAGGAGAACAGGTTTGCTCAGTTCTCAAGAAGGTGACCCCCCCTTAGACGTAGCTCCACCTCCCTTCCTCTCCTCCCCTTCTCTGTTCTCCAAGGGACGTGCTCAGGAGGTACTGAGGAGAAGAAAAGAGTTGGGTCAACAAAGGTTGGACCAGAATGGATATGAACTTGAACCTTCAAGGTTGGTGAGCAGGTCCTCGCTTGAGAACCATGTGGACAGACCCGTGTTTTAGGAGAAGTTGGGCAAAACGCACCCAACCAGATTGAAAATCAACCAAGTTTGATGTCACCACTCTTTGGGTGTCTTTAATAATAATAATAATAATAATAATAATAATAATAATAATAATAATAATAATAAAACTGGTGGGATCATAAAATAGAGAAAGTCATAGAAAATGATCAAATTAAACTGCTCTGGGACTTCAGAATTCAAACAGACAAGCACCTGCAACATAACACCCCAGACTTAACAATTGTCGATAAGAAAGACAAAAAAGTCTGGATAGTGGACATGGCAGTGCCTGGAGACAGCAGAATAGAAGAGAAAGAACTGGAGAAGATAACAAAATACAAAGACCTACAAATAGAAATAGAAAGACTGTGGCAAAAGCAAGCAAGGGTAGTACCAATAGTCATAGGCTCCTTGGGTGCAATCCCAAAACAACTGGAGCACCACTTGAACACCATTGGCATTGACAAATTCGCTATTAGTCAATTGCAAAAGGCGGCCTTACTAGGAACTGCTTCCATCCTGCGACGATACCTGTAATACCATCAAACATCCACATCTGCCTATCCCAGGTCCTTGGGAAGGACTCGATAGGTAGACAAAAATGCCAAATCCAGTTTGAACATCTGGCTGACTGTGCGATGATTAATAATAATAACAACAACAATAACAACAACAACAACAATAATAAAAAGCCCAACCCCCTGCTCAGGCAGGAAACCCTATACCATCTTCAAGGAGATGTTTTAATTTGGATTCCAACCCTGGAGAGAAATGGACTGTATGGGTGCCAACCTCTCCTTCTCAATCCAAATTAATATGAAAACTAAATCCTAAAGATGCTGAAAATACATTTGGACTGAATCTTCGAATCCGTGCGATGGGGATGGTTAAAATGCAGGGGTGTGTGCATGAAAAAAAAATATCCGAATCGGATCAATTTTCCAAATTCATTTCAATGGCCCGATCAAAACAGACTCCCCCCCCTTTGAAATGGGCACGCTTCCCCAGCCACCTGCAAAAATTATTTAGCTCAACTCTTCCCTGCTATAGTGGTTAAAACAACGCAGCAATTTGTATTGACTTGGATGAATTTTGCACAACCCCTCAAAATTCAGGACCTTGTGGAATAAATGAATATAGTATAGTATAGTGTAGTGAAGTGTAGTGTAGTATAGTATAATAATGTAATGATATGATATGATGTGATGTGAGATGAGATGAGATGAGATAATATAATATAATATAATGTAATGTAATGTAATGTAATGTAATGTAATGTAATGTAATATAATATAATATAATATAATATAATATAATATAATATAATATAATATATAATGCATATGGGTCAATATAAAAGGGGGGGGAACGACATTGCCATAGGTATATACTATAGGCCACCCAACCAAACACAGGAAATAGATGAACTTTTTGCTAGTCAGATAAATAAGGTATGTAGGAAGCACATCACAATAGTAATGGGGGACTTTAACTACCCTGACATCAACTGGGAGACAAACTCTGCCCCAAGTAGAAGATCAAACAGATTCCTGACAAACCTAGCAGACAACTTTGTCTCCCCAAAAGTAGAGAAGGGAACTAGGGGATTAGCCATATTGGACCTAATTCTCACTAACAGAGATGAAATGATAGAAGGTGTTGAAGCCATAGGAACCTTGGGAGGAAGTGATCATGCAATATTGGAATTCAACATTATGGAAGCAATACAACACAGTCAAACTAGAGTCTTGGACTTCAAGAGAGCTAATTTCAATAAACTTAGAGAGGGTTTGGGAAGGATTCCATGGATGAGAATCCTCCAGGGGAAAACAACTTAAGAGGCTTGGGAAATTTTGAAAAGTGAGATAATAAAGGCCCAGTCTAGCACAATACCAACAAAGAGGAAAAATAACAACTCTCAAAAGAAACCAGCATGGCTGCATAAAGAACTCTCTGATCAATTGAAAGATAAAAAGGACAAGTATAGAAAGTGGAAAGAGGGACACATAACTAAGTCAGACTATCAGCAAATAGCCCGAGCCTGCAAAAACGAAGTGAGGAAAGCCAAGGCTCAAAATGAACTAAGGCTTGCAACCAAAGTCAAAAATAACAAAAAAAGCTTCTTTCAACATGTAAAAAACAAGAAAAAAGTGAAGGAAACGATTGGTCCATTAGTGAGTGAAAGTGGCAAGAAAGTGACAAGCAACAGGGAGAAAGCAGAACTATTTAACTCGTTTTTTGCATCTGTCTTTACACAAAGGGAAAAAAACAGACCAACCTATCAAAAATAGTGCCATAAGAAACAAAATAGAAATACAAGTTAAGATAGGCAAGAAAATGGTAAGTGAGCACCTGTCCAGCCTAGACGAGTTCAAATCGCCAGGTCCAGATGGATTACACCCCAAGGTTCTCAAGGAATTGGCAGATGTGATCTCAGAACCACTGAACTATATTTTTCAAAGATCGTGGAGCACTGGGGAACTACCAGAGGACTGGAAAAGAGCTGATGTAGTTCCCATCTTCAAAAAAGGGGGAAAAAAGGCCCCAGGAAACTACAGACCTATCAGCCTGACCTCAATACCTGGGAAGATTCTGGAAAAGATAATCAAACAATGAATCAGCGAACACCTAGAGGCAAACAAACTCTTTACTAAAAGCCAACATGGGTTTGTCAAAAATAGATCATGCCAGACAAATCTTATTGCATTCTTCGACCAAGTGACAAAATTAGTGGATCAGAGGAATGCTGTGGATATAATTTGAGACTCTAGAAAGAGTAAACAGAAGAGCAACAAAGATAATTAGGGGACTGGAGGCAAAAACATATAAGGAACGGTTGCTGGAATTGGGTATGTCTATTTTAATGAAGAGAAGGATGAGGGGGGACATGACAGCAGTGTTCCAATATCTCAGGGGCTGCCCCAAAGAAGAGGGAGTCAAGCTATTCTCCAAAGCTCCTAAAGGCAGGACAAGAAGCAACGGATGGAAACTCATCAAGGAGAGAAGCAACCTAGAACTAAGGAGAAACTTCCTGACAGTGAGAACAATTAACCAGTGGAACAACCTGCCTCCAGAAACGGTGAATGCTCCAACACTGGAAGTTTTAAGAAGAAACTGGACAGCCATTTGTCCGAAATGGTGTAGGGCTTCCTGCCTGAGCAGGGGGTTGGAATAGATGACCTCCAAGGTCCCTTCCAACTTTATCATTATTATTATTATTATAATGCAATGCAATGCAATGCAATGCAACACAATGCAAGATAAGGTAAGGTAAGATAATATTAGATAGTATAATATTAGACAACCTAACACCTAAGCTAACCTAACCTAACCTAATATTGGAATGGAGTGGAGTGGAGTGGAACGGAACGGAACAGAATGGAACAGAACAAAACAAAACAGAACAGAATAATTGGAAGGGACTTTGGAGGTCTTCTAGTCTAACCCATTGCTCAAGCAGCAGACCCTATACCATTTTAGACAAACGGTTGTCTGGTTCCTTCTTAAAAACTTCCAGTGTCAGACCGTTCACAGCTTCTGGAGGCAAGCAGTTCCACCGGTTAATTGTCCTCACGGTCAGGAAATTTCTCCTTAGTTCTAGATTGCTTCTCTCTTTGCTCACTTCCCATCCCTTGCTTCTTAAATTCAGTTTGATGAACTTGAATTTATCTAGGCTTAATGATTTTAAATTTAATAAGTAAATAAAGGTGTTTAAATTTAATTCTTAATTTTAACATAACTTAATTAAATTATTAAATTAGAATTTGACAAGGGAAATGGTCTCTTCTTCTTTTCCTTCTTCTCCACCCCCCCCCCTTTTTTTCTGTGGGCGTAATGGAGGGGGGGGAACTCAAGTCCCCTTCCTTGGCATCAGATTCACAAAAAATGTGGCGTTAGAAGGAAGCAATCTTTCTCAGCAGCATCCAGCTGGCGTCCATTCATGAGGCCGTCTTCCCCTGAAGCTAATTTCTCCCCTCTTTAAAGCAAAAAACCAGACTAGCTGGAGATTCAAATCCGATCTGTCCTGTCTCCTCAGGAATTTTTCTTAGATGTGAGATCGGAGGAGTTTTCTGGCAAAGTATCCCTCTTAATTGCTCTTTGTGTGGTCAATACCACCACTTAACCTCTATGTCCAGCAAAGCCAGAGCAGATACCATCTTCCGTATTAATGTAAGCAATCGTAAAAATATTACAGCAGTTTGCCCCCTCAGCCGCCGCCCCCCCCAAACCTGAGGCTATCCAGATGTTGAGAAAGAATTCTTAATATAAGAATTCTAGGAGTTGTAGTGCTCACAAGACGTGAGGAAGGGGCAGAGAGCCTTTGAATGGTTGGAGAATTCACCTAACGTTTTGAGATAATTGAGGGTTAGCCTCGGTGAGGATGTTGTCAGCAGAACCAGGGTATAATAATAATAATAATAATAATAATAATAATAATAATAATAATAATAATAATAATAATAATAAGCTGTTGCAAGAAGAGTGCACAGACTGACTAAAAACAGCGGCATGACAAAGTACTGTATATGCCGGCGTACAAGGCAACCCGGCGTATAAGACGATCCCCGTCTTTGTCGCCAAGTCGCATTCCTAGAACGTCGTCTTATATGCTGGAAACTACCAGTATTTCCGGTGTATAAGACGACTCGGCGTATAAGACGACCCCCGTCTTTGGCGCTGATTTTAATGCTTGCGGAAGTCGCCTTATACGCCGGCATATACGGTAGCAACAGTGGTTCATTGGAAGATCTGCAAAAAATATCATTTGCCTGTAAGCAAAAACTGGTG